TGCGATCCCTATTTTCTTTCCATCTCTCGACTTTTCTTCTTGGTCTCAATGCATACACACTCAGAATGGATCATTTGATATTTTCCAAATCCTTAAACATATTCATATACTTTGTTGCCTGTAGACCCTCTAAAATGCAGTAACTCTACCTGCAACACATGTCTCCCATCACCTGGGAATCACACTTGTGCTATTCATACCAAACTATGCATCGTATGACTACAGCTCCACACCAAAGTAAGGACACCATCATTCTCTTATAGAGCTGTGTATGTTTTCTTCAAAATATTTAGTGTATTGGTAGTTACATATCCAGAGCTTGTTTTTGCACAATGCTGGAAGCTTCATATAAGCAGCCAATTTCATGTTTCCCTTGTCTCTAATTTTTATAGCTCTGAAACATAGTAAACTTAAATATCTATGTAATGAGAATGAATGAAAAGAATTTTGTAAATTAATAGTAGCTGATGAAACTTTTTCCCTTGCTTTTCTGTTGAGTCTGCTGGCTTTGAATCTTTATTTTATAAAGGATATAAGAGAGGCACACACCAGGTAAGCAAAAGATAAAGGACAAAATACCTTTTTGATAGTTTTAAGCCATACACTGTAGAGGTGTGGAAGGATGAGCTGTTATGAACATTTTACCCCTAGGGGGTTTTATTTCTAAGACACTCCTTTTAGCAAACACTTTCTGTTCAAAGTTAAGTATGGAGACATCCACATCTGAATATGTGGAGGTATTAGAGTAACTTTATGGAAAAAATAAGTATGAATCTGGATGAATATGTTTAAATGCTCGAGTCAAAAATTTCTATGTCTATTGAAAATAAAGTAGACTCATTTCTCCTGGAACCTCCTTATATTACTAAAAAGAAACATCTTTATTCTCTTCTATATGCACTCTCTATTCATTTTTTGCTATCACACAGCACACCAGACTTTAAAAGGTGTAAAGAAGACAGCACACTTAGGGACTTCAGGAGGTGAGGATCACATCAGAGTGAGCTTAATGGGTTTCCTTATTACTTCCATATGCCCTGAATAGGTAAGCAGAGCCTCCAGCCCAGGGCCACCAACGGACACAGACTAAAGCTTTCGAAGAAAAGCCTGTGCTTCTTTCAAAATAACTGGGAAAAGGGTGCCCTGAACAAAGCAGAAAATCTCTGGTAATACTTGCTATACTTAAAACAAAGACTATTGAAAAAATACCTCTCATCCCTGTGGTTTCAAGGGGGACAGTCCAGGGGTTGATCCTCACCTTCCCTTCCTCATATTTCTCTGCGTGCTAATATCAGTGGTTCCACCGGGAAATGAGCCTCCTCTGTCACCTGATGAGAATAAAATTTAATGAGGTGTTCTGAGGAGGAAATAATTAGTACTTGGCCTCCTCTCCTATACATGTGGGCCCAGTGGGAAGCTGAGTCTCCATCTTCTTCAAAAACAGGGCAGCTGTCTACTTCCTTTCAAATTCTTGATGCTTCTTATGTGTAATTCCCCACATATCCTGCTCTTTGTTTTCTACTTCATTCTTCAGATTCTATGTTTGAACCCAGAGTGTTTTGCACAGTAGGGAAGCTGTCGACCGTTGCACAACATTCCCAACCCCTTGGGTGCCATTTCTAATGCTACATCTTACACCTGGAACACCTTTCTATTACCCTTGCTCTGTTTTATCTAGTGAAGTTGTATGACTAAGTCTTCGTGTTTTATCCTCCAGAAAGTGTTATTTTACTATCCCAGTTAGGAAAATGTACATCTCCTTTGGGCCTATTGTTTCTCATATCATATTGTGAGTATAGATGCCATTTTACATTTAGGAATTACGGAGATAGTTTTATACTATGTAGAGAGTTATTGGAGATCAGACAGTGGTCTGTTTATTTTTGTATCAGTATAATGCCTGTCACTTAATAAGCTCTCAGTAAACCATCATGTTGGACTGAATTATCTTCAACACTAGGAAAACATTCTTTTGGATTTTATGTCCCTGTAAAGTTCAAGATGCTTAACTTGAGGAGAAGGCACTTTACAATGTTACATAAATTTTCTAAGTGACTTTAGCTCTTCTTTCCATAAATGGGAAATGGAATATATCTCTCAATATTTAAAAGGGAGGTTCAGGTGCCTATATTCTGCTTGTCAGGACAGCTACAGGGTGTTGAGTACCATGGTTCTGAGCTATCTCCCTATCCTTTTGCTTACTAGTATGTGCCAAATCCTTTCCATATACATTTTTAATACTTTGCTTAAAATAAGAAAATATAAAAGTAAATATAGGGGCTGGGGATTTAGCTCAGTGGCAAAAAGCGCCTGCCTGGCAAGCGCAAGGTCGTGAGTTCAGTTCCCGGCACTGGAGAAAAACAAAACAAAACAAAAAAAAAAAAAAAAATATAAAAGTAAATATATATATACTTTTTATTTTAAACAAAGTATTAAAATAACAGAAATTCTATCTCAGTGTTCCTACACCATTATTCAATTACTTCATGAGTTTTAATTTATTCTTGTTACCTTTCAGATATTGTTTTGCATTTTCCACCAAAAATGCAGTAAAATTATAGATTTCTTCATGTCACTTAACAGTATATTAGTGATATTTTCATTTTGTAAAAATTTCTTTTTTGCATGTCCCATACGTGACTTTTCCTATTCCACTACACTAAGATAAAGGAAAATTAAGTATTGCTTTCATGTGCCAGAAACAATTTTCTCAGTGTTTACTTGAGTTGAGAGTCCTTAGATGCCAGAAAAATCTCTTTACTTTTTCCAAAATAGTGACAATGATAAGGAGAATAGATCATTCTCCCCCAAATTCCTTTACCATGATTCATGACATTTCAAGGTTTTTCTGCACACATTCTAATTTTTTTATAGATTCAAACCTATGGAACTATGAGTATTGTTAGCACAGTAATTGCAATGCATAAAATTAAAAGATGTCACTTTAAATTCCTGCAAGGATTACATTATGGCACATGGGAGCCGTTGTTTTTAACAAGTATTTAAATATGGACAGATTTCCAGGGAATAATGTGATCATGTTATCAGGACTTGACTGCCTGAAGATGGGCATCAGTCCAGTTTTCCATTCTTAGCCTTGCTCCTGAGTCTCCATCACCTAAGCCCAAAATGCTGGTAAACTTATGGCACCCATTCCACAGCTGATTGTTTGTATCACTGAAAGTTCTAAAACATTTGCCATCACTGACCTTGACCATTTAGGGGACAGACTTTATTTAAAAGATTGATGCAAAGTTCTGGCTTGGGCCTAATCACCCAGCCCAAATTCTCTAGCTCAGCAAAGTGCTGAAGTCATTAGAGTCATTGTGCTATGATGTAGACTAAGTGCTGGGGTCTAGAAGTGGAGAACTTGAACTGCACCTATCTGGACAAAATAGTGGAAGTCCCCAAATTCCATTTTCTCATTCACATTGGGTAGACGATTTGTAATTACCTGCATTATATGGTTGTTGTAAAAATTAAATGGGAAAATCAAGGTATTTCTGGAACCAAACTTTCCGGATTCAAATACTGGTCCTACATCTTCTTAGCTGCATGGCTTTGAGAAAGGTACTTTTTGTCTCTGCCTCAGATTATTCATTTGTAAGTTATAAGTAATAGGACTACTTCATGAAGCTGTTGTGAGGAAAAGATGAGTTAATGAATATAATATGCTTACAATAAAATCTGTCACAGAGTAAATGAAAATTATTTTTAAATAAATTAATAAAGTAAATGTGCTTGGCATCTGGAAGAGTTCAATAATAATAATTATTATTATTATCATTCTTACTAACTCCAAGTTATCTTCCCATTGATACAGTGTGTATAAAGGATACAAAGAAATGATTTCTTAAGCAATGTGTTAAGCAGCATGTGGTAATTGACATAGGTAAATGAAAATGTTATATAGGTTGTTTTAAATTCAAAGTATAGCTCCTAACAGTATATTCTGACAAATGCCTTTCTCAGAGTCTCTTTTACATCTCCACTCACCAGGGTGCAGATGAGGAGGTTCAGCATGGGGATCACCACTGTGTAAACCAGAGACACCTCTCTGTTCTGGTTGGCTGAATAGCTAGTCTCGGGCAGCACAGAAATAAAAGTAGTAATTCTGTACTAGAGGATAATAACAATGAGGTGAGGGCTGCAGGTAGAAAAGACCTTAGGTGCTCTTCATTGGATCGCATCAGGATTGTCAGGATGAAGATGTGAGAGAGAACAGTAACAAACATTGTGGCCACAGTGGTGAAGCCAGAAGAGACGGAAGAAATCATTTCAATAATGGGGACAACTGAATAAGAAAGTTTCCATGAAGAAAAGTCTGAGAAAAAGTATCTATTTGACTTGACCCACAAAAAGACAGCCTCAACAAACAACTAGTAAACGTTCAAACATTCACACAGTCACCTAGATAGGGAGCTACTACCGGGTGAGCCGATGGCCGTATAATAACAGTATGCCATAGTGACCAAAGGGAAAGCACTTGGCTATTACCAGAAGACAGAGTTGAGCTTCACAAAAGCAACAAAGCTTCAAAATATATACAATATAAAAACTGATATAATTAAAGAAAAATATGAAAAGAATTATGATGGTAAGCTTTTCACAAATCTCAATAACTGACAATTGAGAATTGAGAAAACTGAATTGAGAAAACAATTCAAAAGCTCAGTATGGATGTAGAAACTTTGAGTGACAGTTTAATCCTATGGAATGTGTGTAAAATACAACTATCCTACTTCCAGATATAATTACAATCCTGTATAAGAGAGAGCAAACCTCCTAGAAATAGTAACCTGAAATAATTTTAGTGAAAATGATGTATTTTATGACTCTAGAAAGTTATAAATTAAAGTTGGCATTAGTCAGTATGCTAGCACTGTGTGTATAAGACAGTTCTTCATATGAAACAGAGCTAAGGATAATGCAAACATGCATCCTCTATGTTCCCAAAACTATTGTTTTAGAATTTCCAGATTCACAGATTTGGATTTCTTTCAAAATGGAGAATGTGTTCTTGCTATCAATTTCTTCATGGCCTCTTTTATCTCCTTGTTCCTCAGACTGTAGATCAGGGGGTTCAGCATGGGGATCACCACCGTGTAAAACACAGACACCACTTTAATATGGTCAGGTGAATGGCTGGACTTTGGTATAACATAAACAAATGTAACTGTCCCATAGAACAAAGTCACTGCAGTGACGTGGGAGGTGCACGTAGAGAAGGCTTTGTGCCTTCCGTCACTAGAGCGCATCTTCATGATTGCATGGAGGATGTAGACGTATGACACAATGATGATGAACAATGTGACTACAATGATTGACCCAGCAGAGATTGCAGGAGATATTTCAGCAATGTAAACGTGGGTACAAGAAAGCTTTACTAGGGGCAGGAGGTCACAGAAGAAATGGTTGATTTCATTTGATCCACAGAAAGTCAGGCTCAATAAACAGCAGGTGAATGATGAAGCATTCATTCCCCCACCCAGATAGGAAATAACTAATAAGATGGTGCAGACCCTGGAGGACATGAGGGTAGAGTAGAGCAGGGGTGAGCAAATGGCCACATAGTGATCATAGGCCATGGAAGCCAACAGGAAGCACTCAGCTGTCCCAAAGACAACATCAGAGCCAAGCTGAGCTATGCAGCCAGCAACAGGGATAGCAGTTCTCTTTCGCAGGAAACTCACAATCATCACAGGTGTGACTGATGTGGAATACCCCATGTCCACAAAGGCCAGATGGCTGAGGAAAAGATACATTGGGGTGTGAAGCTGAGGACTTCTTCGGATTAACATGATTATGCTGAGATTGCCCCATAGGGTAGTAACATAGATTCCTAGAAAAACTACAAAGAAGGTGGAACAAAGCACAGGATCCTCTGTTAATCCCAAAATAATGAACTCGGTTACCATCGTGTGATTTTCAGTCTCCATCTTTGTAATGGCACCTGTTGAAATAAAAATGAATGGGTAATAAAATAAATTAAATGACCTCATAATTGATATTTTTTCCTTCAAAATCTGGCTTTTTAAAAAGCCAATAAGTAGATCTCATTTTTCTCAAATGTATACACTTTGCAAAATGTTTATGAACATATGCCATTATTAAAGATGTGAAAATGCTAATCTCTATTTATGCTGCAGATACAAAGGGTCCAAGGACTCAGATTAGAGCACTGCACTCCATCACCACATTTGATCAATTCGGGTTGTTAAATAAGTCCTTTCAGTAATGATGTTTTGAGAACAAGGATGGTTAAAGTGATTGAACTACTGCTAGTGTTTAGTAGTATCTAATTTGTCCCTATTTCTCAGATGCATTGAAGAGAGCACACACTGCAAGTCCTCTTGTAGTTGTGAGATTGTGAAGAGTATATGCCAGTGGGTTGTGAGAGGAAATGTGTGAGTTTTCAGATCAAATTGCCAGTAGGCAACTTCTCTTCCTGTTGTGCAGTGATATATTTTATGTGACACAACTGTCATGTACTGTGACCTCTTACCTGCCCAGGCTTTGAGTGAATGTGGAAAACACATAGTATACTGAAAATATACTGCAGTGAGAAATACGTAGATGTTGTATTAGACCACACTGAGTTTCCAAAGTTAATTTATTAGAATAGCATTTTGCCTAACCTGGTTAATATAATTACAGTTTAACTGTAAATAGAAGCTACATATAGGGTTTAATACTGAAAGGAACACAAGAAATAAGTTCACTTTGGGCCATTAGTTGAATTAATAAAAGTGTAATTTCATAGTCTTATATGAATGTGGTATGCAGTGGAATATGCTTTTGAAATGCCTAATGTTTATTATGCCAGTTGTGAGAGCAATTGAGTAATGAATAAAATAGACTATCAAGAAGTCACTTAATTTAACAAAAAAAAATATGAAGTTTAGTCAGAAAATTGTGAAAAACTAAAACAAAGGCAAACTTTTAATTAAGCAAGTTGTTAACCTGAAATATCCTGAAACAAACATTTTAAATAAAACACTTGGATAAACTGCCAACTCAGGTATTAAAAATATGGAAAAGATTCAACATATATAATCATAAGCCAAATGCAAATTAAAACTACAATAAAAGGGGAGCTGGGGATTTAGCTCAGCGGCACAGTGCCCGTCAGGCAAGCACAAGGTCATAAGTTCAATTCCCAGTACTGGAAAAAAAAAAAAAAAAAAAAAAACTTCAATAAAAGATCATCTCACATTTGTTAGCATAGTTATCATCAAAAAAAGAAAGACAATAAATGTGGCCAAGAACCTGGAGAAAATAGAACCCTGGTTTACTTGGAATGTAAATTAGAGCATTCATTTTGAAAAACAATATGGCAGTTCTTCGAAGCATTAAAAGTGGAATTACCATATGATCCAGTATTTCTCGGTGGTATGTCAAAGTGATATCTATACTTCCAAATAAGGACCAAGAAAAAGCCCCACGAAGACCAAGTAAAGGTCCAGCTCTTTCTAGTCAAAAGACTGATAAGGGAGTAGCCTCACAAGACACAAATTTGGGACAATGATTGAGGTACTGTACTCCATGGTGAAATATAGAAAAAAAAACAGGGGCTGGGGATTTAGCTCAGTGGCAAAAGCGCCTGCCTGGCAAGCGCAAGGTCGTGAGTTCGGTTCCTGGTAACGGAGAAAAACCAAAAAAAAACCAAAACAACAAAAACAAACAAACAAAAAAACAAATCTTACTCTAATTTCCACCAGCAAAGGATAAGTTGGGAAGGAAAAACTACCAGGTTCTTCCAGCTCAACTTTCCATGATAAATATAAATTCTATTCAGAAATCATCAATTTTCTTATGAATTCACTTGATAAATAATATAAAAATGCTACATCTCTGGCTTCATTTAGTCACAAGTTTAACAAATGCTTACCTGAAATAAATTATATATGAATTCAAAATATGATGAGGTCCAGTATTATGAGAGGCAGGACATATAGTTGTATAATGAAAATAAAATAAGATTTCAGATCCCTAAGCTCTGAGGGCAAATTCAAGGTTTGCCACTTACTATCTAGGTAACCTTGGAGAAGTTACATACCCCTCCTGTTTCCTTGTTTATAAAATTAAGGCAATAATACTGCTGTGTCAAATGAGATAATGTACATGAAAACACTTAGCAATAAACAACAATGAATGAACAATCTGTGAATAAGAACTTACTTCAGATAAGCAACTATTAGCTTTCGGGGCTGGGGATTTAGCTCAGCGGCAAAGCGCCTCCCTGGCAAGCGCAAGGTCGTGAGTTCGGTTCCCGGTACCGGAGAAAAAAAAACAAAAACAAAACAAAAAAAAAAAAAGCAACTATTAGCTTTCACTATAAATGCAAAAGATATTTATTTATGTCAGTAGTAAAGACTGAAAGCTACCTGTTAGACAAGTATTATGATAAAGACAGACTTGAAGAATGAACTCCGTACAGCAGAGGATATTTACACAAGACTGGGCACCATTTGAGACCTAAAACTGAAAGTACCTCAGCACCAGACATCTGCAGGTTTGTTAGCACCCTCTTAAAAATCCAGCGGGATAAAATCCAACGAGATTGAGAAAATTAGATGTGTTTATATATTCCTACACCACTGCGCTGGCTGAGATGTTCATTAAGATCTCAAGGGCTTCATTTGTTCTCTTCATTATCAGTATACAAGTATTACAACCGGGATGACCTAATTAGTTTTAAAACTTGACTTGGATAAACATACTTAGCATGGGTGACATTAATCATCTGTGCTCTTGCTGAGAAGCAACCACAACAAGGTGCCTGGATCCACAGTCTGGAGCATTGTTTTGTGGTTTATATGTAGCCAAATCTTCCAGACCTGCACGAAGAGCAATGCTACTTTTCTCTGTGTGAAAGTTACCCTCATTTTATTCAGTTTTGATATTTACCATTGATGATGTATATTTACTTTCAAAACCCTGGACTCTTGAAATAGTGATCCATTTATTGAAGATACAAGGGGTGATGAAATACACAGTGAATGATTAAATTTTTTTATTTTATTTTATTTTATTTTTTGTCTTTTCTTCTGGTACCAGGAATCGAACTCACGACCTGCGCTTGCCAGGCAAGTGCTTTGCCGCTGAGCTAAATCCCCAGCCCCAAAATTTTTTTATTTATTGCAGGAAAAAATGCATTGCATCTCTTGGATGGCCAGTGATGTTGAAGATTTTTTCAGATATTTACTGACCATTTGTACTTCTCCTGTGAAATGCTTATTCATTTCAGCTGTCCATTTTTGATTTGGGTATGTTATTTTGGGGTGGTCCAATTTTTTGGATTTCTTTATATACTCTAGATATTATTCCTCTTAGGAGGAGCTGGCAAAATTTTTTCCCAGTCTGTAAGCTGTCTCTTCACTCTGTGGGTTGTTTCTTCTGCTGTGCATAAGTTTTTTAATTTGATGATTCTATTTGTTGATCCTTGATACTAAGAAAATGTATTTATACACAGGGAGTACTATACTGCCATAAAGAAGAATGAGCTCAAGTCATTTGCAGGAAATGGATTCACTTTGAGACTATAATGTTAAGTAAAATACATCAAACACATAAGCTTAAATACCAAGTGGTGGGCTAGGGATTTAGCTCAGTGGCACAGCACCTGCCCAGAAAGCACAAGGTCATGAGTTCGATCCCCGGTACTGGAAAACAAACAAACAAACAAACAAACAAAAATCCCCAAAAAACTAAATACCACATGATTTCTTTTATATGAAAAACCCAAAATATAAATAAAGAGCAAAATAAAAGGTAGATAATAGGAAATAGGGTGACAGATTTTGTTCAGATGGAAAGGGATCAAGAGATGGAGGCAGGGGGAAGGGGGGATGAAAAAAGAATTAAATTATGTTAGTATGTGCATGTATCAACTTCAGACAAAGAATATAAGCAATCTTTGAGAGCACATTTCCTCACTTAATACATGATATCAGACTTGTTCATTTTTATACTGAACATCATCTATTGTAATGTGATCTGATTTCGGGTTTTTTGCTGTATTATTTTGTTATGTCTTAAATGAAAATATAGGATGAGTATCTATAGTCTTTGTTTTTTAAATGTCATTATATAATTTTGGGAGTAATGCTCTCTTATCATCTTCCTAGTTGGTGCATAGGAAGACATTTCTCTCTGAGTACTCTTGTCTTTCTGGGGCACTGAATCTAGACAATGATGATCAAGGGCTGTTTAAAATCATATGTATACTGCTGGGCATGGGTGGTGCACACGTGTAATCCTAGCACTCAAAAGGCTGAGGCAGGAGGATCTTTGCCGGTTTGAGATCAGCCTGGGCTACAAAATGAGCTCAAGGCCAGCCTGAACTGCATAGCGAGACCCTGCCTCAAAACAGATGAACAAACCATATGTATAAAAATATGAGGGGCTTTACACTGGATGAACTGGCCTGGTCACACTGGAACTTACTAATTTTTGAAGCATGGAAAGCAAAACCAGAAATCCTGTGCCTCATGGTATGATGCAATAAGAAGGATACAGCCTCACTATAAAATTTTCTTGCTGAAAACCTAACAAGAATCTGACCAAGATTTTACGGAGATCCGTTTGTAATTTACAATCACACAGTGTTTGGGGGAACTCATTAAAGGCCACAGCTCAGCAGTACCGGTGCATCCCAAGCCCATGTTACGTATTTCTGCAATGTTGACATCAGCAACATGGAAAACTTAGAAAAGATTTAGTGAATTTTAGAGTCAGAAAAACCACATTTCTATGTAAGTTACTCTGGAAAGTGACTGAGCAGCTTCAAGTGCTGCAAGAGCACTGGTTGTCAAAGGGAGCTTGAGATTTTGAGTATGGCTTGGACCTATTGATTGATTACACACCTCTTAGGGATGATTCCTCTACCAAAATAAAAGCCCCAAGTTTTTGGCTTGAGGATTACTGTATTTGTGGGTAAAGCCTCTGTTCAGTGTATGAATTTCCTTCTTTCCATGTGTGTGTCTTAAATATATAGAATACCCATATTTTAGATTTTAGAAGATTTTATGTTGCATTTCTATTACTTGTATAGCTTTTGTTTTCATAGATTTATTTTGTTGTACAAAGGGAAAAGTTGCCAAGAGAAAATTAGGGACTTGTGGCTTGATATTTGCTATTTTCAGCGGGTAATTTATAAAATGTCAAAAGGAAAATATGTTTCTGTGTCGTTACAGACAGCACTGACCAATCCACATGCATTTTTTGTGCACTGACCGCATGCCAAGAACTCCACCAAGAAAAAAACTTGCAGGTAATCATAGCCTTTCTCCTGTGTCTTGACATCTACCAGACATAGTAGTGAAGATTTAGTGTTTGCCTTCTACAAATTAAAAAAAAATAGAGATAGATGGCAGATTCACAAATGCCCCAGAGGACAGTTGCCTCAGTGGCTGTCTAGCAGTGTGATTCCAAGTGTGCGACCTGATTATCTTTCCTCACCTCTCCTTCTCCAACACACAGCAATGATACCATCTAGTTACACTGAGAAATAAGAAAGAGAAAAAAATCTAGTATATTCTAATGAGTTCTTTGGAAACAGGAAAAATCTACTTTAGCAAACAAGAGCAACATTGGTATTCAATCCTCTTGTAGAAAGTGGTAACCTCTACAAAGGACTGAGTGATTCTTGTAAATGAAAACCATAGATGCAAATCACTTTGCTAGACAGAAACACTCTCAGGGAAGCCACTAATTGACGCAGGTGTAATAGAATATGTAGCACTGCTCCATCAAGATTCTATTTTTTTGGTTGATTTTCCACAGCTTGCAAAAGACGTTTTCAAAACACTATTTTCAGAAACATCGTGTGGACATGGTTGAATGCCTTAAGTTTTGATTAATGAATAAACTTGATGGATGTTGATTAATGAATAAATTTAAATTGGTCTGCTGTTTGCCTCCCAAGACTTTCTTTTTTTCTTTTCTTTTCTTTTTAGTCTCTAAATTTCCAGGGGAAGAATTTGCGTATCAAAATGCCTACGAACATGAACAGGCTGATTTTACTGCTAGGAATGATCTGTTTGGAGCAAGGTGAATCTGCAACTCTTTCTCTCCCCAAAGGTAAGTTTCAAACGAACTTTGTAGTACTTTGGTGTAAAGGAATAACCTTTTCTGGCTGTGGGTATCATAACTCTGATTCCATCTTTCTTTGGTAAAAGAGGATAAATAAATACATTTTGGAGATCTAATTATTTTTAAAGTAATTATTTTGGGCTTTGCTCTGGCAGTCAGTATATGAAATGAGGCGAAACATTTATGGAATGCAACTAAAGTTTGTTTTTTTTTTCTTCACTTCGTTTTACCAAATGAACAGATTATTCACTTCTTTGGACTCAACACAAATCCTGTCTTCTGTCCTGAATCAAATTCTGGAAATCAGCACAGATTTGGAAGAGCTTGTTAGCTTTTGGAAAATTATCTTACTAGAAAATATGAAATACATTCACTGCAGTGTATTGGAAATGGTCTCTTTTCCCCTGACTATCATAAGCTGAAAACAGTTCTTGGCAGGCGTCTTTGTGGTCAGACTTGTGCCAGCCCAGAGAAGCAACATGTTTTCTGTCTTTGCTTCAGTGAGTTCAGGAAATAGTAAATTTTGTGTTTAAAGTATTTATGAGTCATTCAGCAGAAACAGTTAGAAAATAAGCTTTTGATCCAGTGTCCTGCTGTAGTAGACTCAGAAGTAAAAAATTATTATGTTCATGTCTTGCCATTATTTAGCAGTGCATCTCTTAAATTCTTAGTTTTCATATCTGTAATGTGAAGGATAACAGTGTTTGATTCAGAGGGGTAGAGCGGGGATTAAACAAGAAGTCCTGTGAAGAGCTGTGTGTACTTTAACACATTGATCTAAATAACTACTCTCTTAAGGATATGTTCTCAAGAAAAAAAAAAAAAACATCTGTTCATCAGTTCAATGGTTCTAAGTGCTACTACATGCTGGAAATTGTGCTAAATCTTAAAAATACAGAGATTACTACAGAAGATTTCCTCCCCCACAAATAGATTGTAGTTCAATGACAGAAGATAGCAATGCATGATGTCAATACAGCATGCCAAAACTATTAGAGGGGTGAAGAAAGAGTTCTGCACACTGCCAAGGAGAGACCCTTAGCCCAGTTTGAGAGAGGCAAGGAAAACTTCTGAGATGACGTGGTGAATACAGATCAGAAGGTTCTGGTGGGCAAAGATGTAGAATGACTGTGAAGCAGGGCCTTCTAGACCGTCTGAAAAAAGCCTGTGGGAAAGAATGGCTTACAGGCAGAATATAAAGTGTGCCATTACTGAGTCATCTGGTGGAAGTAAACAACTGTAGTTTATCTCTTAGTTGAGAAGTCAAAAACCCTTTTTACAAAGTAAATGCGATCTTCTCAGAGATAGACTTTCCCACAAAGAGGAATGAGTTCTTCTTCCACTAGCTCTCCACCTCCTATCCTAACGCTATTCTGTGAACCAGAATCCTGTCTTCCTTCCACTGTCTTGAGCAATATGCTACCTTCTATGCTTACAGAGAATTGGATCCAATAAGATTTCTTAATATTTGACTGTGTGGCAGCCATCATAGCGCACAGCTTTAGACTTAGTCTCCTGCTTACAGCAGAGGAAAAGATATGGATACAATGGGGCATGGTGGCACACACATGCAATCCCAGCACTTGGGAGGCTGAGGCAGGAGGATCATTGCAAGTTCAAGAACAGACTGGGCTATAAAGTGAGCTCAAAGCAGACTGAACTGCATAGTAAGACCTTGTCTCAAAAAGACATAAAAAAAAAAATGGATACAATTGGATTCTAAGGCAGATATGGTGTTGTCTACAAATTAAACGAGCATCTCCTTGCATTAGGAACTGTGATAGGTATTGTGAACATAAGTATTTCTAAGATTAAGTTCCTGTCTTTGAGGAGCCCCCAGCTAGTTGGGTTGAAAGACATAGAAATAACTACAATAATACCTAATGAATGTTTTAAGAGAGTACAGTGCTGTAGGGAGGACTTCAAGAAGCAGAATGTCCCCAGCATTCCTGGTAGCCCAGTGGAGATCTACCACTTTGGCCCTGAATCTTCACATCATAAAAGTAGGTCTCTGGATGATATACATCTTCTACATGTCTAAAATTGGAATAGTCCCTTGTACTTCAAATCACAGCAAGTCCCAGCAATTAACTTAAAGGTATCTTGTGATCTTTCTACATTCTCTATACTCTACATTTTTTTCTCACTCAGAAGAGTTTTCTGGATCCCTCAGGCCTACAGATTATCAAGTCATTCAATGTTGGTCTTTTTCCCCAGCTCCCAACTGTGGGCAGAACGTGGTGAAGGCACAGCCTTGGAATTACTTAAACATGTTCAGTCGCATTGTCGGGGGAAACCAAGTGGAAAAGGGTTCTTACCCATGGCAGGTGAGTCTCGGTAACATTCTCTGGAGGGTGGGCTATGAGATCACAAGGAATCTTGTGCTGTGCCCATGCTCCATTCTGCCTACATTTTCACCAACAATCTCAGGAGTATGTACAATGATCTGAGTCCCTCATGATACACATCATTTGAATTCCACAAAGTTTGTTCAGAAGAGTTACATGCGTTGTGGATTTGTGTCACAAACTGGAAATGCCATCCCAAATTTTCAGCTCCTAAGACAAAAGTTCTACTTCAGGAAGTTAAAATCTTTTAAAATGAACTATTTAAAAATAATTTTTGATTCAGTTAATATATTCAGAAATATAGTTCACTTTTTATACTTAGAAAAGACCAGAGAATTCCTATCCACAGATCCACTTTGTGATCGAGTGTAAATTTTTCACTTATATATAAGGCCCCTCAGAGAACAGTCAATAGAGAATAGTGCCTCTTCGTAGCTAATGTTCTAAGAATTTTGCTTCAATTGAATTTCCTGGTCCTACCATGTCATGGAAATGCCTCTGTGTTTGTGCCTTGAACCCAAGGTGTTCGCATTTATTGTCTTTGAAAGTCTCCCAGTTGTCTTTACCACGGGAGCCATGCTGTCATCTCAGTTCTTAAATTTGCAAGTAAAACAATCCTTTAGTTTTAGTTGTGTTGAGCTGATCATTAACTTTTAAGCCAAAAAATAAATATTAATGATTGGTTGAGTTTTGTGTAGTGGGTTGACTGAAGAGCTGTGTCATTGTCATTGACTAACTGGTTAATTACTTGATTGTGCAGTCGATGGATGAGTTGATTACTTGTTCAATTGGCTTATTAGTTAGGTCAGAGGTCCATATTTAGATCACAGTAAGGGTGATTCACTGACTTTTATTACTTGCTCTTTGCTCTATTCTTAGCATCTCTCTAGGTTACTCTCTTTTATTTTGAGGAGGATGGGTCTTTTGTTGTTATTGTCTTGTTTTGTTTTACAGTGCTAGGAACCAGGCCAAGGGCCCCACAAAGACTACACCATGCAGTCTACCACTGAGCTACATGCATTGTTTTTACTTATCATTAAATAATTTTTAGTCAAAAAATAGACTAGTCTAGCAAATACCTTTTTCTGTAATTCTAAAACTGTGAAGATATTCATGAATGTGTTTACTTGTACACTGTAAGTCATTTTAGAATCAAATAAAGTATCACAAAAAGGATGAATCAAAGATAGAAAGTATTTTGGAAAAGCAGAATAAAAAATAAGCTGGAAGAAGGCATAGGAGTCCAATAGTTCATTAAATGTCTGAGAAAAGGGTAGGTCTAAACTATTTCTCTAGGAAGCTTGGGGAAATTGGATATGTGCTGAAAGACTCCCTCACATTGCATTTCCCGCAGACCTCATCAGCTGGTCTCTGTTTTACTTTTTACTCCTTTTTTTTCATTCATAGATACTGTTAATGTTGTTAGAGCCTTACATACAGGTCAATGGTGTTATAAAAAGCGTAAAGACCAACATTTCTAACGGTCAACTCTACTGAAATGAATATGACTAATGATCTCAAATTAACTCCCCCTCATCCAGGCCAGGGCTGGGAAAGCTCTGGCTTCAGCACTGTTCTTCTTTCTCAGCTGCATTGCCTAGGTTTTACCCCTTCACAGTCCATGAGTTATGACAGTTATGCATAAGACATCTGGGTCTACTTTTCAGAATAAGCTCAGTTCCCAGCATTTGGAGCACCCTAGGGCAATGCACTCACCTCAGGTCTTTGCAATTCAGGTGTCTCTGAAAAGAAGGAAGAAGCACATCTGTGGAGGAACTATCATCTCTCCACAGTGGGTGATCACGGCTGCTCACTGCGTCGCAAAGAGGTAGGGAAGATGCTCATCACTGAGAACCGTATCACCCCTTCTCCCTCTGAGTCAGTAATAATAATTCTGAGTCAGCAACAGCAATTCTATTAAAACATCCTAACTGCATGACATAAACAGGGTTCAGTGAGACTGTCAGATTGTACCCAACTCGGTGAAGAGCTATATACATTCAAGATGATATTTTATTTACTTAAAATGCTGAAGTTAATAAAGAATAATATCCAAGTGAGTAAAAAGATAGATTTCTGAAAATTTTCTCTGGTTCTTATAAATGTCAGTGAAAATTTATCTAATTCACTATATATCATAAGAAATAGACATAATGTCTTAAATCCCTATGTGTGTGTGCCCTCTGGGACCTCAGAGTTAGGGTTCTATCCTTCATAATATAGACCTTGCATGAGATCTTCGACCTTAACGCTGCATACTTATTGGGAATCATAAATAATTTCCAAAGCTTCTCCTGGAGTTGAAACTAGATTAGCCTCTTACAACAGCTATATAAACTCCCCGACAGCTTTTAGAGCCCCGAGTTAAAACGTGTATACATGTCTAATAATAGAAATAACAATGCAAAATGTTAAATGTATCATATCACTGGCTCCATGTGAGGTCACTGTTTAGGAGTTCTTCACTGTAACTAGGAATTTCTGCATTTTTTTCTAATAACATTGAAGTCATTCTCATTTTCTGTACTGAGCAGTCTTAAATGCCACATTGTGCACCCATATAATTTCAAGTTGGCCAATTTGTTAACCCTTTACAGCTGTGCTCAGAAGCTCACTTAGCCTCCATTTTGTTGCTTCTTTATAGAAATTTTGCATCCACATTGAATGTCACCGCTGGAGAACATGACTTGAGCCAGACAGAGCCAGGAGAGCAAATCCTCACCATCAAAACCATCATCATACACCCCTTGTTCTCCATCAAAAAACCGATGGAGTATGACATCGCCCTTTTGAAGATGGCTGGAACCTTCCAATTCAGTAAACATTTGAAGTGCACCCTGAATTACCTACCCCACATTCCCTATTAATCTGGCCCATGTTATGTAGCATACGATCAGTTCCGCATTATGTATTGTGAGATGGTGATTTTGATTGGTGGGTTCCCTACCCTGAGACTTTGTTTGCTTGTATTTTTGGATTAAGTGGAATCAAGAAAGGGTGACCCAAGGAGATGCCAGGCAGAGATATCACAACTCTTACAAGGTTTTGGGGGTCCGCCAGATCACAATTGGTAAGTGATTTATGGCAGCCTCTCCTCCATGAATGAGACAAGCCCTGCCCTGGTCTTTTCTCTTCAGGCCAGTTTGTGGGACCTATGTGCCTTCCAGAGCCAGGGGAACGATTTGAGGCTGGATTTATTTGTACTACTACAGGCTGGGGCCGCTTGACTGAAGGTAAGAAACCTTGAGCTATTCCTCTTGATCAAAGATCAGAGTTTACTGGTGGTTAATCAGAGAATATAATTTTTAATTTATTTTTTTTAAAAAAATTGGACAAATATTTAGAAAGGCAGAGAATATCACATTGTACTTAGAAATGCAGGTCTTTCCAAAAGACACGAATCTGAAGTCAGTTGACGACAATGAATGTGCCATCTTCAGCTCAGAATTGTTTTGCTAGGGGTCCTGTCCCTGTGTTCCAGGTGGCATTTTCCCACAAGTCTTGCAGGAAGTGAGCCTTCCTATTTTGACTCAGAAGGAGTGTGCAGCAGCTCTATTAACCATAAAGAAGCCCTTCAGTGGGAAGACCTTTCTCTGCACAGGCTCCCCTGAGGGAGGGAGAGATGCATGTCAGGTGAGTGGGAACTGCAGATGTGCTCTCAGCTTTGTTGACAGGTGAGGGTTAGACACCCATAAGACTAACTCCAGGTAAAACTGGAAACTGGGAAGGAGCATAAGGACAAGCCAAAATGAGGGGACAGGTTGAACATTGTTTTGAGCAGGGAGTGTGAATTGAGAGGAATTCACAAATAACAGAGTTAATGCCAAGAATAAGTTGGGGGGAGTGCGGCTGGGGATGTAGCTCAGTGGCACAGCTCCTGCCTGGCAAGCTCAAGATGGTGAGTTCGATCCCCAGTACCGGAAAAAAAAAAAAAAAAAAAGAATAACCTCGGGGCTCTCCCATTCCTAAAGAATTGCTGGCTCTCTCCTATTTAGAGATTTCCAACTTGCAGATGTTGGAATCTTTACTTTTCCTCCACTCTTCCTGTGAACAAGACCTAAACTCAATATTATCACTGGGCAGGACTTCTGGGAGTCCGTAGCATGAGACAAGAGAGGGGGAAAGGCTGCTGTTTTGATGAAAACCTAGGGTGATGGAGATGCAGCTGGAATTGATAGGCTCCGGTGATATTCAAGGATCATTTGAGAATTGTTCTGGATTATTTTCCTTATGCTTGGGCTGTGAGTCTCAACTACTAGAAGCGAGCAAATGTCACTGGTCCTCATCTATCATTTTTGTAGGGTAAAAGTGAGCTCTCTGCAGCATACACACTGACAGTGAGGGTAACAGAGGCTTTTTTCCTTCTGCAGGGAGACTCCGGAGGTTCACTCATCTGCCGGAATAAGAAAGGAGGCTGGACTCTAGCTGGTGTGACTTCTTGGGGTTTGGGCTGTGGTCGAGGCTGGAGAGACAACGGGGAGAAAAAAGAGCAAGGATCTCCTGGGATCTTCACAGATATTAGTAAAGTGCTACCCTGGATCCATGAACACATCCAAACTGGTAATGAAGCCATCACGCGAGGTTAAGAAGCTGCTATTCTGCTAGGGCAGAGAGCGCCGGGCAATTCAGGACCACAGAACATAGCCTTCCACTTCTGTTCCCAGGGTAAAGCTTACTGTCCAAAGCAACAGCAAAATATGAAGCGTCATGCAGCACACAAATATTCAATGAAAAGTGAATCCATCTGTTGTAGATTTGGTCAATTTCGCCTTGAAATGAAATTATATCGCCTGGTAATATTTTTTTACCACCTACTTCTTAGTTATCCTAGCAAGATGCAGTACATATCAATCAACCAGGGGCAATTTTGCCATCTAGGCAAAGATGTTGGGAAACATCTTTAGCTGCCACTACTGGAAGGGAGACACTGGCATCTGGTGGGTAACGGCCCTGGATGCGGCTAAACAAAGTACAATGCACAGGACACGCTCATCTTGCTTCAAATGTTAATAATGCAAAGTTGGGGATTCTTGGCATAGAGGCAGACATAGTTAGTTTGAAAGCACCAGGTTCTACCCAAAACCTATGAAGGGAGGGAATAAATTGCAGCATCTCTTCAATCCCAACTCAGTTGTTTTTTCAACCCATGTCTTGGTCTCAAAGCGGCTTTCATCCTTTCCCAAGGAGATGAATTCAGTAGGAACTTGAATTTGTTTTCAAGTGTGTGGCTCAACGCTTGGTATCTGAGGCACCAGTTCAAGTTGTAACCACTCCAGAAATTCTTTTGTGGTGGTAGGCCAGTTATTTCTGTATCTAGCCTCTAACGTTGTGTAACACAATCTCTTCCTGCTCTCTGTAATTTCCATGTAAATCACAACTGGTTCTTAATTAGGCCATTCAATAAAATAAGTAAAATTCTCTCTGTAAAACACCAAGGGCCACTTTTCTATTTTGTTCATTTATCCCTTCTGTTCTTTCTACATGTCAGATTTTTATTAGTTGTATACTGACTGTGCTTTTGAGTGGAAGAGATGTTAGCTTCTTGAAATATCAATCAGGATACCACAGCTTTGAATCGTCTTTCTTTTTCTTTCCCAGGGCATCAGAGAAAGAGCTCCAGGGGTAAGTATTATTTGCATCTACTCACCCACAATGTGAATTAACATTTCCGAATATCTGGCCCCTTTACAATCAAGTCTTCCTTCGCATATTTCCATGCTGTCTAGGTACAAAACTACCAGCAGGTAGGTGCTGGATTAATGGGAGAATAACTCAAGGTGGATGGGTAAAATTCTGTAGTGTGTCAAGAGTCCCTGATATATAGGACTCATCTCTGTGTTACATTGCAACTCTGCCATGAATTTACCCTCTGATTTGGGGTAAGCTCTTTCTTATCTCTGGACCTCAATTATCTCATCCATAAAGAAAATAAGTTGGACCAGATGGTCTCTAAGGTGTATTTAGTTCAAATTTTAAATGGTTCTTTGAGTCTGTTGAACTATCAGCAAAAAGTCAATGTAGTGATATAGTATTCCAAGAGCTTAGAATAGGGAGAAGTTGCATCTAGCTGAAAAACGAATAAATAAAGGGAGACTTTGAAAGACAGATGTTCTTTTAAGTTGAACCTTGTCAGATGAATATTTTGTCAGGTGGAAATAAGGTATGGTAAAGAAAAGACTCCAGCTAAAGGAATATCCTATCAGAAAATGGATATTAATAGTTAAACAAGAAAGATGCATCTGTAATAGAGACCAGTAAATCAGCCAAAGTAATTTAAGTGTAGAATGTGTAATAAAGCCCTATGAGGAAAAAGAATAGAACTAAGATAATTTGAAATCAAATTATAGAAACTTCAAACATCAGTCAAAAAGTTTGAAGTTTATTGAGTAATAGGAAATTAATTAATTAGATGCATAATTTAGACCTATAATTTAATGATATAAAAACAGCAGGTAGGTATGGGATTAATGGGAGAATAATTCAAGGTGGATTGATAAAATTATATAGTAGTTCAGGAGATAAAAAATAAAGGTTTGAGCAAAGACAATGACAAGAAAATGAAAAGGTAGAAATACAAAGGAGAAAAATTACAACTTTAGAGTCAATTTTAGGAATAGTAGTGAAAGAGAGGAAAGAATCAACTTGATTCTTTTATAGTATTGAAGTTTTGAGCCTGAGAGACCCAGAAAGGGGCACCTGACAGCAAGAACTCAAAAGTGGGTGTAGTTTTCCTGACCCAGAGGAATTACACTTCAAGCGTGTTGAGTCTCAGGAGAGATAGTTAGGAAACCATTGTACAATCAGTCTGAAGTTCAGAGAAGTAGAGATGATAGTTAAAACTGAAGGTCAGAGCGCTCATGTAGAAGGAGGGATGAGACCTAAGGAGAGAACCAGGGAGGTAGCTATATCTACAGAAGGAAGATATGGGGTCTGAGAAAGAAGAGTTACAAGGAAAAAAATCAGAGTCTCAAGGTGAAGCAAGCTCTAAAAAGAACCAAAGGGGGGAAAAAAAAGATGCACTGTAAAAACTTAGACAAAAAAGATTCTCTGAGGAATGGAAGCAGCTATCAAGAAGACCCAGAAGACTCTAGAGTCCTCAACTTCTAGAAGCAGGGGTTATGGTGGTGGCCATTACTCTCAGCCCTGATTCTGTGGTTTTCCCTCCCAGCCTCATGCACTGAGCAGGATGGTGTAGTCAGCCAGTCTGAGGGGGAGCTGCACTTCCCAGGAAGCATCTACCTGTATGACGACAGTGAGCAGTGAGTAACCCCCGCTGCCCTCGTCCCTCAGACTCCTACCACCAGCCTGGCTGTGCCCATTAACTGGACTGCAGTAGTCACTCTCTGTGTCGGAGTGACACCCTCTCTGCATGTCTGCCTGCAGAGTGTGTGTCTGGACCCTGCTGGTTCCAGAGAAAATGCACATGTTGCTCAGTTTTTCCCGCTTGGATGTGGAGGCTTGTCGCCACAATTATCTGGCAATGTATTCTTTGGAAGACAGACTCGTCGGTGAGTGAAATTTTACTTTGTCAAATGGAAAGCACGCTAAGTGGGTTTACGGGTTACAGTGTGTTTAGCATGGGTTCTCTGCAAATACCACGCTGCTCATCTCCAATTTTGAGACTCAGATTGGGAGTGGAGAGTAACAGAGTCTGAGCTTATTGATGGCTGCAAGGCCATGCAGAATTTCACCTTTTGCCTTCTGCTTCCCATCAAACCAGGCTTTCTAGACCTAAATCCTATTAAGAGTAAAATCTAAGTATGTTACAGGCTTCCTCAGGGCCTGCCCCCAGGAAGAATGTAGGCATGAAAATGACAATGCCTTATCAAGCTAAGATACCAATAGATAACCAGGAGGAGGAAACAATGCTCACTTATATGAGAAACATAAGTGGAGTAGTGTTTCTGTGGTTATCGACTTGAGTGACTTCATCTCCCCTGCAGACATTTGGCAATATCTTTGAAATGCTTTTGGATGTCACAACAGGACAGTATATTAATGGTAGATGTCAGGATGCTATAAAAATCCTATTAAAAGCACAGAACACCCAGTAGTGTCAAGTTTGAGTCACCCTTTGTCTTGGTTACTTTTCTCTCGTTGCTGGGACAAAATACCTGATGCCCAAAATTAGGAAGGAAAGGTTTATTTCACTTACAGTTTGTGGAGGTTTTAGTCCATACTTGGCTGGTTACAAGGCAGAGTGGCACATGGCAGAGGGCTACAGCTCATAGCAGCAGAACACAGCCAAAGCAACAAGCACTAAAAGGGAGGAATTTCCTGGCTGCAAGCAGCCTCTTCCTCTCCCTTACATATGCAAACTATTCACCCCAGGGCGGGTGTAGCTCTCACACCCATAATCAGTCAAACTCTAAAAACCTGCCCCATGACCGCATGAGGCTTTGGGGGGACACACAGACACAAACTATAACACCCTGGTTTAGACAAATCTGAAATTTCATGGCCAGTTCATTGATGGGTGCTGTTTTCTAGAATTTGAATAATGAGTCTTCTTTTTGTATTGCAGGAAAATTCTGTGGAGAAAAACTTGCTTCGTCCGTTCTTGTGGGCACCAACTCTATAAGGCTTAAATTCCTCTCTGATGCCACAGATTATGCCACTGGGTTTAATCTCACCTATAAAGCTCTTAAGCCAAAATACCTTCCTGGTAACACCATTTTCTTTTACCACATACTATCCAGGCCCTTTTTAGAAGTTTTGGCCCTCTAAGAATCAGGTGGGGTCCTTAGCAGAGAGAACAACACATTGAGCCGTGTGCAGTCTCTCCTTCCCTGGCCCTCATAGCTCGTATTTATTACGCACCCCTGTGAACCAATAGGTCTGAAGAGCTCTGGAAAATCAGTGACCAGCCTCTTCCTTCCTGGTGGCTCTGTCTAAAGTTTCAATCTGCATCATTTATGGGAGACAAGAGGGAGAACACTGAGAATTTCTCTTTCATTGGTGGTGCCATCCTTTCTTTGCTTTTAGACTCCTTTTTGTGTGTGTCTTTCAGATTCAGGCTGTAGTTCCTTCACTGTCCTTTTTGAAGAAGCCATCATCCAAAGTCTTCATTATCCTGAACACTACAGTGATATGATTAACTGTAACTGGGTTTTTCAAGCCCCAACACATCACATAATTAAGGTACTGACTTTGGTTAGCCTTACTTAGCTACGGTACTGAATAGCCACAGAACAGCTAATGTAAGCAAAATGTGGGCAGAGGCTTTTATCTGATTTATTTATGGGTATATTTTTAGCACTCAGTCCATGATGCACAATAAATCAAGCTCTCAAGAAATACTTGAGTTGAGCAAGTTTCACCTGCAACTCCCCAAATTGACCACTAGATGGCACTTGCATTCTAGTTCGCTTGAAGCAAAAAGCAAAACAAAAACATTGCCTTAACCTTGGCACCTCACGACTTCGATCAGTCTCCTGTCCTTTCTAGAAATAAGCACGTCTTCCTTATAAATTCACCTGCTAAAAACGCCCAAGTTAGTAATGACTAACAAATGTCAGTGACAACTGAGCCAAGTCATGAAGGCTTCCAAGCAAAGGAGACAAAGCAAAGAGAAAGAGTAGAAACCAAGCGGGCATGACTGGTTTAAGAGAGCTACAAGGCGTTGCTGGAGAGACTTCGGGGGCGGCGGGGGGGTGAAGCTAAGACCAAAGTATGGAGACCTCAGAACGTCAGGTACAAAGTTTATTCCACATTCAGTCGGTAGTATTATTGCTTTTTGTTTCTTTGCCCATTGGACACTGGCGGACTTTGCAGAGAGCCATTGTAAGGTGCTTGAAGGTCACGCTGCAGTCAGGATGAGGCATTTACTTAAAATAATTACTGAAAAGCGGGGCTGAGGATTTAGCTCAGTGGCAAAAGCGCCTGCTTGGCAAGTGCAAGGTAGTGAGTTCGGTTCCTGGAACCGGAGAAAAACCAAAAAACAAAAAACAACAACAACAACAACAAAAACTGAAAAGCAAGGGAGTATGTGAGGGAGAGAAAGGAGCAGAGGAAAAAGGAATAATGGAAAAGAACAGAGACAAACTCCAAGTTCTAATCTAGTCGTGCATTGCTTAATGACAGGGATACGTTCTGAGAAATGTGTGATCATTAGGCTATTTCAATAGTATGTGAACATCACAAAGTGAAATTATACAAGCTAAGGCAGCTACCATGTCACTAGTTGATAAAGTCATGTAGGACTACTGTTGTATACGTGGTCTGTTGTTGACCAAAGCATCCTTATGAGGCACATGACTGTACCTGAGATGGAAAGGGAGCGGAGATGCAGGGGAAAAATGTACTGGTGCAATCTTATGATGGCCCTTGATGGAGCCTTTAATTTAAAACAGCACAAAGCAAACAAAAAGATAGGGCCAATTGTTTGGGCTTACCACACAAAGTTAGCAGTTAAAGAGAATAAGAGCTGAAAGTTAATGACTCAGTCCCCGCTCCTCCAAAAGTGGTAGAGTAATTGGACTGGACAGTTGAACAGCAGAGAGCACTTGGGCTGGGGACATCTGAAACATCAAATGAGGTTGGAAGTTAGGAGTAGAGAAAGATCCTATGAGTTTTATGAATGAGTGGGAGAAAAGGGCCCTCTTTCTAAAAGTTTCTGAAAACCGGAGTCAAGGCAAAATTTTCAACAGACTTAAGGGAACACTTGTTGCTTATAATAAAAGGGAAACATTTAGATATGAGAGGTGAAGGGAGGGTGACTCAGTGAGAGTCTTGTGAGGAGTGAGGGGAGAAGGGGAGGGAGGGGGAAGGAGGGAGGAGGAGGAGAGACAGACTGAGATGTTTGTGGAAGGAAGAAAGGAAGAAGACGTTTCCGGAAAACACTAGAGCTAGAAACGATTCAAAAACATGAATAAACAGGTGCTGATGCTATGCACCACTGAAATGATGTCCTCATACCTGGCCCATGACAGCGTCGTCCTGCGGCGCACACCCAACACAGTAATTTGGAAACTGCTGTCATGAATTATAACAATATGCATAAACCTTGACTTGGAACATCAGAAATGAGGTAAACGACATGAGCTATCCAGAGAAGCAGCTCTGTGTCCATGCAACTAGCTGTGTGTCTAAGCTAGCATAACCTAAAACCTAGTTGTTTCTGAAGAGTATAGTCTCCACTTGTGCCTCTGCGGTCCCTTAGGGATGCCAAGGAGCCGCAATATTTGCACGTTTCGCACCCTTACATTCAGCCTATGTTTGGTAGCTTTGATATTCCAGAATGTTGGAGAGCCTGTGATACAGCATCTTTTACTGAATTACTTTACTCATGAGTGTTGCACTAACCATCTCACTGAAGGTCCTCCTCCAGAGCAAGCTGAGCAATCCCCTTTTCCTTGTTAAATTAAAATTTCTTCGCTCTGCATATAACTTCGAATCTTCTTAGCTGTCATTTCAGAGTCTGGAAATAGAAGAAAATGGAGACTGCAGTTCTGACTATGTCGCCGTCCACAGCGATGTAGAGAGGAAAAAGGAAATAGGTTTGTTTTTCCTAAAACTTCCGCTTCTTCCAGTCTGAATTTGGGCTCAATCTTGAGATGGGAATAAAAAGGATATGGCTCACTTTTCCTCATCGCCCTGCGCCAGCGCCATCCCTCCCTGTGGTCTATCACTCCTCCTACATAAAGGGCGTGAGAGGGAGGGAGATCCAAAGAACCACTGGAGCAGAAAATGTGAAAGACCCACCGGGAGCTAGGAGTCTGAGGGGGTAAGGTCTCTTAGTGGCCTTTCAGTGGCAAATGAAACAACTCAAATGTTGATGGGGCTGAATACATATTTTTAAAAAGCAAACCACCAGTTTGTTTTGAAAACAAATTGTAACATTCATTAGAAAATTTATATCTCAACAATTACCTAAAGGACTTGGTTTTTTCCCCTTCTATTCACTGCCGTGCCTATTTTCGGGGCCCTTGACAATGTCTTGCCGGGGCCGGGCTTTGCTCAGCTTGGTTGTGTGGCTTCGAGGTGCCCGCTCCCGTGCTGAGCCTCTCTGGGGTCATGCTCATCAACTTCCAGTCAGATGAAAACGGGACCTTCAGAGGCTTCCAGGCTACCGTTTCCTTCATTCCTGCAACAGGTAAGAAGACAGAGCCACCACCTCTTCAGATCCTGATTCTAATCCTCCTAATAAAGGACAATAAAAGGCAGCAGTTAGTTGGGCGTGGTGACACAGCCCTGTAATCCCAGCACTTGGGAGGCTGAGGCAGGAAGATCTTTGGGAGTTTGAGACCAGCCTGGGCTACAAAGTGAGCTCAAGGATAGCCTGAACTGCATAGCGAGACCCTGTGTCAAAAAGACAAAAAAATAAATAAATAAACAACAAAGGCAGTGTTAGAACCTGACATAGATACAGTTGATGGTCATTATTTGAAGTAGTTATATCCTCCAGGCTTCTGCAAATCATACCTTTTCATCAATAAATCAGTACATAACCTTGTTTTATGTGTTGAAAAAGACCTAATTCTTAATATTCGTGTGAACAGCAGAGTAACTCATGTTTTAAATAACCTTATCTACCACATAAGCTTATTTACATGTATTTTCTACGTAAGGGACACTGTGGCCTTCTTACACGTGGGAACACTAGATGGCACTTTAGCGCTGTACTTGGGAGCCATGTTATCCAGCAGGATAGCCAACAGAAAACCAAAAAGATGCACAAAAAGGGACACTAACAGACCACAAAAGGGGCATTAATTTACATTTGTTTTTAGTACAAAGCTGAAAATGAAGCAGAACCTTGGCTTTCTTGTTCCATCTTGGCAGGGAACGTTCAAATGTTCACGGCACCGAGAGTATTGCCTTGGGTTTACAAATAAATCCTAGTGGGTAGGTGAATCCACCTATCTGGAATCCACAAAGAAAGAAGCAGTTTACATGTCTGGATAGAAAATAGAAAAAGTCATCTGAAAAATCATTGCTTTCAACATTACAGTGAGGGAATACTGCATGCCTAATAAACACAGAGCAAAGATTAAATCACAAGTAAGTGAGCAACATATAACAAAGGGACAGAACACGAAATAGCTTCACCAGCCCCCAGGCGCTGGACCGTTGCACGACTCAGCTTTCTTCCAAGTTTTCACACCCATCATTGGCTTCCAAAGGTGCTCTTATTAGATAGTAAGCACTGGTGAGGGCAAAGCCGAGTTATAGTTAAAAACGCTCTGCTTCTCAATTAAAATACCGAGATGCTCCAGAATTCTAACACTATCTCTATAATTCATTCTCTGATATTCCCAGCCCTGGTCTTCTTTGCGTGACTGACTTGAGTAATTATATTGTGTTTAAACCCAGATTTAAATATCTCCATGTCAGAGGATGAACCAGTCTCGGTGGAGCCATGAACTGTGCCACCTGGAGAGATGAATCCTTCAGGTAAGCTGTTTGGGGGTGGGTGTGACTAAGTGTACACATAGCGTGTGTGATACAGGGTTTAATCAGAGGAGCAGGTGTGGTAGGTTAAGCACCTTCCCCCAGAATGTGTTAACATCCTTCAGTACCTCTAAATGTGACCTTATTTGGAGACAGAGTCTTTATAAAAGTAATCAAGCTAAAATGAGGTCGTTAGCATAGCCCCTCATCCAGAGTGACACGTGCCCTTATGAAAAGGAGGAATGTGAAGACGGAGGCAGAAATGGGGTGACACACCATCTACAAGCCAAAGAACACCAGCAATTGCCCGTGAACCACCAGGACTGGGGGAGAGGCATGGAACAGCTTCTCCATCTCCGTTCTTACACAGAACCAGCCTGCTGACATCGTGATCAGGACCTGTTTCCTCCAGAACTGTGAAACAATAAATTTCTGTTGTGTGAAGCCACCAAGTTTGTGGTGCTTTATTATAGTAGCCCGAGCAAATGAATGTACTAGACTTGGGTGATACAGTTAGAAGGACTCACGAAGCAAGTACACTCAGAGGGCAGACCATCAGAAAGAGAAAAACCGGGAGGACTGGGTTCCATAGTCATGGGCTGAAGTTGTTCTCCATGGGCAGAAAGAATTCTTTTTCTCCTTTAAGGAACGTCAGCCATGCTTTTCACAGCCTTCCATGCAGTTAGGTGAGGCCCACTCATGTTGCTAGGATGATCTTCCTTACCTAAAGGCAGCTGATTCGAGACTTGAATTCCATCTGCAAAATTCCTTCACAGCAACACCTAAATTCTTGTTTGATTGAATGACCATAGGCAGTAGCTTAGCCAGGTTGATACATCAAAAAACCATAACAGAGGGGCATAGCATGTGACTGCTGTGCCTTCTGCTCAAAGCAACACAAACATTTCAATTCTCAAGGACGAGAATTCTCTTCTTAGGCAACTCATTCGGTGGGTTTAGCTACACTGTGTGCCAAACTGTGGTATGACCCACGAGATCCTTCTGCTGAGCAATAGTAAGTATCTCATATATTTTCATGCCAGTGAACATTGAGAAGTGCTGGGCTTTTCCTTGTTTTCTCTATGACATCTACTGACATGTATGTGGGACATCCTGGTCCCTGTAGAAGAAGATATGGTAGTGAGGGAACAGGCAGAAGATAGAGATGGGAAATTTTCTAGTTTGCCATTTTAATAGTTTATCAAATCTACTTTTATTTCTACAAACTTTCAGGTACATTGAATACAATAATATAGGGTGGAGAGCAAATATTTCTTTCAGTGAGAAGGGCTCAGAGCAGTCTGAATCTTTTTGTTGGGCTTCTTTGACAATGACCTCACCATGCTTAGATGTCCAAGGTAAAGTGTGTGATTTAAGTGTTTCCTTCTCTTGGTCATCAGAGGGCACCTTTAGTCAGTCTTTTTTTTTAAATCACACTAAACCAAGCCAATATTTTCCAAGAAATCTCATCAAAACACTTAACAAGACAGTCATCATTTTATTCCCCATGCCTACCACAATAACCAGAACAAAGTATGTCAAATAGGGGCTGGGGATTTAGCTCAGCGGCAAAGCACCTGCCTGGCAAGCACAAGATCGTGAGTCCGGTTCCCGGTACCAGAGAAAAACCAAAAAAAAAAAAAAAAAAAAAAAACCAAAGTGTGTCAAATAAATATTTAGTGAATAAAATAATCCACAAATATGTCTTAAAGTCAGACTTTAATAACAGACTTCCCTGATTTTTCTCTCAGTTAACTCATACTTTGTTTACAAGCTTCTTCCTTGATATAAATACCATTAAAATTTAACAAGGACAAGAAAAAGAGTTTACATGTGCCTCATTTTAAATCCCTCACCTGCTTAGGGGTGTCAAAACCTCAACATTACCTTGTAAAATCAGGTGTGGTGGTGGTGCATATGTAAAATCCCAGTTACCCAGGAGGCAAAGGCAAGAAGGATGGCAAGGTCAAAGTCAGCCTGGGCAATTTAGGCCTTGTCTCACAATAAAGGATTTTTTAAAATTAAAAAGTCTGATGATGTAGCCCAGTGGTAGAGTTCTGCTGGGTTGGATCCACAGTACAAATAAATAAATAAATAAATAAATAAATAAGCTGATAATATAGTTCAGTGCTCCCTGAATTGAATTCCTGGTGCAACAACAAATTACCTCTCAGTAGAATACTTTCTAATGGGTACAAGATGGATAGATGGGTACAACACATATTACACATATTGGATCTAAAGTAGACAGAGCAAATAAAGAGGACAAAGTTAAAGGTGAGTTGATATTTTACCCCTGGGTGACATATCCATTTCCAGTAATGGGTAAACTTTTTCTTTCTAGAATACAGTGGATATTTCTCACCATTCTCAGGTGTGGGTTAGAGTGCCCTACACAAGGGAGGTCATTAGAGACTGTTATCTGGGCTTTGCAGTAAGGAGGATCCATTGGTGATATTTGTATTGGCCCCAGCCCAGATGGCCTCTGTAGAGATACTCCCCTTACCCCTTCACTTCAACCCCCACCCACCACCTTGCTTGATTTCTTTCTTGATTATGGGAGGCAAGAAGGCCCCACCCAGCTCCTGGCCATTGCAGGCTGGCCTGTAAATTGCCACTGAACATCTGTGTGGAAGGACCATCACCCCAAAGACCTGGGAGACCACCACTGCTCAGTGCTTCTCCTGTAAGCAAGGATATCTGGGGAATGCAAAGTGGTGGAGGCTGACAGTATCAAGATTTGACCCTAATCTTTCAGCTGCCACCTCCTGCATCGGTGAAGGTCTGCTGTGAGTCACACTGGATGCACCATTCATCACCATCCTGAGTCTGCATGGGTGCCCTAAGTGCTCTGGGAAGCTCCGCCATGTCACATTGTGCTTCTGCATTGCAGTTCAACACGATGTGGGCTCTTGGATTGAGAGACCTTTGTTCTATCATATCTTCTTTCCTAGGATTTTTTACATTATAAATTAATACCAAATTTTGTGAAATATGTTTTAGCATTTATTGAAGGGAATAAATGGTGGACTACTACACCAACTCCATACTAAATGTATTTTCTAGTATTCTTTAACCCTGAAGTGAATTCCACTTGGGTGTGCTATACTGGCTGCCCATTGGAAATGGAAAGGATCAAAACCCTGAATAGCCAAACTCAGTTAAAACCCTTAACAAGGAAAGTCCAGTTAAAGACGTCTACCTCTTGGTAGGTGGTAAATCTCTGTCTTCCCAGAGGAGTCCCAACTCTCTTCTGTAAAAGACCTGCACAGGGCTCCTTACCATCTCCTTGATTAAAACTAAAGGTCTTCTGTGGGCCAGAGGAGAGGCGTCTTTGGGGAACTGTAACTGTAAACATGTAATTTTAAACTCCGTGCAGATGCTCCAGGAAGATCTATAAGGCGCCATCTAGTTTAGGGGAAAGACACTCTTTAGATAATCACGCTTGCTGCTTACACTCTTTTCTCCGTATCACCAAGCCCTCAAAAAAAAAACCCATCTCTCACCCCTCCCCCAATCTCTCACCCTGAAAGCACAATTCCTCTCTTCAAAATCCTCCCTCTGCCTTCCCTGGCAACATACCTTGACCTAACTAAGATCATCTTTCTACATTCCTTGTCTACTGGTAAATTCTTTTACTGCCCTCTCCGCCAGCCCTCTGTGCCCCGTGTCACACAGCACATGGTACATTAATCTTTCAGTGTATCTCTGGGTTCTGTCTACTAAGACTTACCTTAGAGTTTTGCACAAGCATTCATAGTTTAAACTGAGTTACAGTAGAATTGTCACTGGAGACACATGGGGATCTCTCAGATCCTTTTACAGGGTCTTCAAGGTCAGAACTATCCTCCTGTCAGTCCTAGGCATTATTATCCCTTTTTATTTGCATCCTCTTGAGAATGTACAGTGGTTTTCCAGAGCTCCCTACCATGTGCTGTCTCAACAGACTGAACGGAGAAACCAGGTAGGAAAATCCACCTGTATTCTATTTAGCCAGATATTAAAGTTTTACAAAAATGTAAAACAATGCCAGTCTTATTAACATTTCTGTTTTGGCAAATGTTGTTTGCATTAAAAATGTCACTTATCTGGAATATCTAATACTTTTATTATAATTATCCTAGTAAATAAACAAGTGAAAAGCTTTAAATTTCTTCCTTAATTTTAATATAATAATAAATATTGATAAATATAGGTAACATAAACAAAAGCCCCTTGGGACTTGGAATAAGTTTTCAAAGTATAAAGGTCTACTGAAACCAAAATGCTTTGAAATTCTTTATTCTGCCTTTTTTTCAGACTTCTATGTCTGTCTTTCCATGAAAAGAACTGCACACAATTCACAACATAAAAACAGTAAGTAACGTATGATATCATTGGTATGTATGTGAATAATATATTGAAGCAGCATAGAAGAAATAAAGATAGGTAGAAAAGACAGATGGAAAATTGGAATTTTAAAATTGTATTTTTAAGAAAAACGCAGCTTCAGGACTCAAAAGTTACTCAAGCCTTTTTCCTTTCCAGGAAACTAGCTCAAAAATAAATAAATGATAGATGATAGTGATACAGGAAAACAAAAACTCCCAAACTGAACAATATCTGGGATGAGTTCATGTTCTCCAAAATCGAAGAATGGATTTTAGGAACAACGGAGGTTAAAAGCAGAATATATTTATTGAAGGAAAGAAAGCTTCTGTCCAAGAGAGGGACAGAAGGGATACCTGAGGGGGTTGCCCAAGACTGTCTTTTCTAGGGACTTTTATAGAGCAAAACCACAAGGTGAAATGGGCCTAAGGTAGGGGAGAAAAGGACAAAACTATGGTCAGCCAATAAGAACTGTTCAGGTAAAATTGATTCAATGGGGATCAAATGGGGAAGCGAGTCACGACTTACATAGCAAGAGGGCATGAATACAGAACAGGCGCTTTTCCTGTAAGGGGTTGGGTCAGGGACTCTTCAAGGTGATCGCTACCTATTTAGAATATCAATCCCTGATGTCCATCCCTAAGGAGGTGTGTGAGTGCATTTGTTTAGTCCTTTGTCTTGAGGTCTGACCCACAGCAAGTATGTATCTTTCATGTTGGCTCCTTCAAAGGCCTGGCCCTTCTGACTGCCTATAATATTTCTATCTAACTCAGCTGCCTATAACAATAGAAAGATATATAGATAGATAGATAGATATTCTGGAATCTTAAAGACAAGAGGCAGTGAGCCTATAAATTGGGCTCTGTGCTGTGCTTTTCACCTGTAAATTGCACTTCCTCCGGAAGACCTCCAGCCTTAAGGAAGCAACAATATTAATGCGCAGCACTCTCAATTTCAAACACATGCAAATGGTTTGCATTCTCACA